ACGTGACACTGACAGCGTAATCATTACTCCCAGCGCTTGCGAAGCTGTCTGCAAGCAAAGTAATGCGGAAGAAGCTGAGCGGCCCAAGCCGTGAAGTGCAACCCATGCGCGTTTGCAAACTGAGCGGTTCTGGAAAGTCCACTGGATCGTGGAGTTCTTTTCCGTGGCCCTGGCCACAAAGTCTTGAACTTTCTGGAAAACCTGAGAAGCTGGGGCATGGCGCAACTGAAGAACTTAGTAAGACAGCAACACGATTCCTGGAATTTAGTTCTTGCGAAAATGAATGACACCAAATTCGGTTGTTAGTAAATGATGGACGCCCCTGTGAAGCTCATACTGCCTACCATGCCCGTGAGAGATTCGGAATGCAGCAAGGCAGCTATCTCATCTTGGTCCAATTTATGGAAGCCTCGCCATGCTCGCCGGAAACTAAGCAAACTCTCAAAATGGTCCACTTGGCGGAAATGCTGCTTGCATTTCCGTTGACAGCTCTTGTGACAGCGGCGCGCCAGCATTTTGCGTAGAGCATCAGCATCATCGCAAGGCGCCCGCTTCGCCTGCGAGGTCTCGCGTTTGCGTTTCTTCCCAGACCCCTGACTGGGCTCTGCAGGGGCCGCATCTGAGCTTGCGCTCAGATCATCTACGTCTGCAGGCAGGGTGACTAAGTCACCACCCGAACCAGCAGCCATGCGCATAGCGCCCCTTCCATCGTCGCAGCTCACACGGCGAATGCACTCACAAGGATCCAGAATCACGTGTGTCCATTGTAGAATCGACACACATCATGGCATCAAAATTTCAATCCCTCGCAAATGAGAATAGCAAGTACAGATCCTCAGCACTTCATTTCACGCAGAACTGCTGATTGACTGCGATGACGTTCAAGGTTGAGGTTTGAAACCTAAAGCCTATAGACCCTCTACAACCTTACGCATAAGGGTCTACAGCGTTGCCGTTCGGGAATGGAATGGCCTGTGATGAATTTGGTTCAGTACCCTTAGGTTTGGGCTACGCTTCTGCAGTGCTTCGGATTCGTTTTACCCTTCAACGCTCACGATTTCCCTGACCGTGCTTGTAGAACTGTAGAACCCTGACACACCAGGACCAACAGAGCCCCCTTCGCAGCAGATGAAAGCAGAATGACCAACATTTGAGGTCAATCGTGCATGCGTGTGGATCCACTTGTTTTGCTGAAGCACTGCCCAGGCCCATGCATGCCAAAGTGTGAAAGATGTTTGCAGAGTTCGCATCCCGAACACGTGTTAATTAGCGTCTGGCGCACAATTACTACTTGAAGTATGGCAAGTGCTGACCACATCTGGACAGCTTCAGAAGAACTTCACAGGCTAGCTGGCCACACTGCGGCACAGCCAGGTTACCCAGCGCGTGCATGCGGGCCTTCTTCTCCTCATCGTTGCGTCGCACCAACCAGCACCCCAGCGGAACCTCGTTCAGCGGGTTCCACGCGGCAACCTCCGTGAGTGCAGCGAGTGGCTGCAGCGGAATGTCCTGCGCGCGAGGATTGGGCGTGTTGCTGATCAGAACGCGTAGCTTTTCAAAGTGGTTCAGGGCAGTATCCAGGCTTTAGTCAATGAGTTGGAACCGTGCGGCCAGAACAAAACCATGGACACAACAAAAACTGAGACGCTGCTTCCGCCCTAATTACTCCTTGCGCACAAGCCCTGAACTTCTAAAGATGAGACCCCAGTCCCCAGCACTTTGCCACGCATGAGTACCTGCGCACTGCCTTGCTTCAACTGCTTTTTACGTGGCGCGGAGCTATGATCACTGCCAACCAGCGCACGCAACAGCAACATGAGCTGCGAATCAATCTACAAGGAACTTCGTCAGCATCATCAGTCCATTTCATTCAAAGCCTGGATAGTTAGTCGTGGCGCGAAGTCCAACCGCAAGGCCTCGAACTCTTGTTCCTCGTAATTGAAAAGAAGCATGTGCTCCGCATTCTCAGACAGCTGCACACACTCATACCAGAGCCCCTCGTGACGGTGAATCACGTCCCCCTTGTGCGCAACTAGCAACCATGCCCACAAGTCCACCTGCTCATCTGAACCATCCCACCACGAGGACCCGATCTTCAGCCAGAGCCGGGAGCGCCATTTTCGATGCTGAAGAATTGGCAAGCAAACAACATGAACATTGATCAGACCGCCCATGGCTAACTGAATCTATGCATTCCGAAAGCAATGAACTGTTGAAATGCGGATGC